CGACCGTCTGGACCATCACATTCCACTCCACAAATTCCAGAAATATGAAATTAGCGATCTCGTTCTGGGCTGGATAAGAGACTTTCTCGTTCAACAGCACCTGAATGTGAGGGTTCGAAGCAACCTGTCGGAATCCATCGAAGTTCAGTGCGGCGTACCTCAAGGCTCGGTACTTTACCCCGCCTGTTCCTGGTTTTCTTAAATGATCTCGCGAGCGTGTTATCTTCTAACTGTTTGCTATTTGGCGATGATCTAAAGGTATGGCGTACTATAGCTGCAATGGAGGATCACACAGCGTTACAGGAGGACTTGGACAAAGCGTACACATGGTCCATCGAGAACATGCTGCATTTCAGCGCCACCAAGTGCAAAGTTCTCAGCATACGGCGCAAGAGTATGCTCAAGCGCCGCCTAGGACCACAAATTCTACAGCGGGCTTCTCACGAGTGTGATCTCGGCTTGGTAGTTCAAGATGACCTCGGTTGTTTGAGCCAGATTGAAAAGGCATCTAAGAAAGCAAACCAGTACCTCGGCGTTCTTCACAGAGCTTTCGGAAAGTTTGGCCCTTCAGTCTTTTCAAAAATGCTTAGTGCGTACGTGAGGCCGCACGCAGAATACGCTATTCAAACGTGACAACCCTGGTTCAAGCACCATCTCACCGCGCTCGATACTGCACAACGTAAGACAACGAAGAGCGTCAGAGGTTTAACCAGTCTCCCCTACCCATTCAGGCTGAAGACCCTCAAAATATGCAGTGGACGTTATCGGCGTCTAAGGGGCGATCTCATAATGGTGTACCAGATCCTGAGAAACCCCAACCACCCATGCCATTCCCCTCTAATACTCAGTCAAAACACCCCGCTAAGAGGTCATCGGTTTAAGCTGGTCACGCAGTACAGCCACCTGGAATGTCGGCGAAACTATTTTTCCCTTCGAGTGTCAAAGCCTTGGAACGCTCTCCCGGAACATGTAAATAATGCACCCACCCTATCCCTTTTCAAAATACGCCTTGACGATACTCTGTAACATTTACACTATGTGCTATAGCCCATGACCACCAGATGCTGGCACTAATGGGCAACAGACAGTGGACAGTGCCAAAACCCTGCTCAAGAATAAGTCACTCCAAACCCCTTGCACGAAATTTGATAAACGCTACTACTGTAGAAGCCGGATTTCTATATCCCCGAGATAGGTACACACGAGTAAGCGTTTTCCTTGCTATTTTTTTCTCGCTTATTGTGTGATCTATAACCACTCTTCTTATTGCTTTGTGTGCGCACATTCGAATTACAAACCTTTTATGCGGTAGTGCAGTTAAATCTCTAATCGCCCGAACCGATGATTCCATTATCCCCTGATCTATCTTTTCTCACTCTAACCAACCTACGGGACTTGTCAAACACCTGCTTCTTTACCCCTTATAAATCATTATTCATTGTTTTATTCCACAGGCATTACTATAGCTACCTAGATACTTGAATTTATAACTGATCGCCATCAATTGTCAGTGCAGGATTGGATCCCTGCCAGTTTTGGAGAAGACCTTTGCAGTTTGAAGGTACAAAACTCAAAACGGCTGACAGCCATTGCTTACTTATCTAGTGTTGCTTGTCACCTTTATGAACCGCCATTGATTAGTGCATTGTCGGCGTCAAGAACTCGTTAAGCAGGAAGCAGCTCCTCACCTTGTAGGTCATGTCCAGCGATTGCCGTTTCCATGACTACGTCAGTGGTGCAATTAAAGATGAAAGGTGACCGCGGGCAACCTTTACTAAACCGCCGGAGATTTTGTGGGGCTGCTATTGTTTGCCACAAACCCTCACTCTGCTTGTATTTTACGCGTACATAGGTCTGGCAAAGTTTATTTATTTATTCTTAATACCTCTCTTGAGCAAACAGCCCCAAAAGACACATTACTCCACCGAATCGAAGACACTTTCGATGGGGTAAAACACGGCTACAGTGAATCGCTAATAAAAATGTTTCAATACCTGACATAAAGTAATGGAGTCGATGCGGCCAAGGTTTCGATAAAATCCTGCTTACTTTTCACGTATCTAGCTTTCCTGAGTGCCAGCCAGTTTATGCAGGTTGACAGCCGAGAGAAATTTAGGGGGAATTGGGATCAAACAGATTCTTCTGTGATCGCTGCATTCAGAACGCAAGCCTTCTTGAAAATTCGGACTATACCAGGGCGGCTCCGGTCTTCTAAGACAGTCTGTTCCCACGGCTTCACTAATAAATTGTGCAAATCATCCATGACAGTTGTTCCGTCGAATCTGAAGAGGGCTGTAGCAAGTATATCTGCTCCTGCGGCCTCACACAATTTCAACAGTCTGATCCCACATACGACTTCTGCGCGTGAAGCGTTTCCTATTCGTCTTTCGACGCACTCGTCTCGTTTGTCAACATTGATGAAGGATCTGTTTAGACTGCTGACACTGTTTATCTTCTTGAGTTCAGGTGATATGTATGAATTCTAGCACTTTGACACTTCGATGAACTATGATAAGATAGCCCTATTTTGGCACGCACCACAGCATAATCAAGCTCATAGTGTTCCCCCCTCCATATAAATCGACTATCTGTCACATAAGTGCGCAATCTTTAACTGATCCAATCTGCCCCATTTGAGTACATAGTATTGTTTCTTTTGGCGGATAACAGCTTTCGGGATTTAGAGATTTGTGTCAAAAGTCTAAACGGCGGATGTAACAGTCACCCTCGGCATACATTTATAAAATTTGATCGACAAGCATTGACCCCAAAACGCTCATCTTATCACTTTTCCGTACTCTTTAGGCAACTCATTTGGGTCCTCATATCTCCAAACTCAATCATCACTTCCACATTCTTTGACCATTTGTTTGTGAGACGCTTGCCATCTGTAGAGTTGATGGTGTCCGATCTGAAATCAGTCGAGGATTTACATCGTAGCTGTCTGATAAAATTTGAGAGTGAATCCTGTCAATTGAAGCGTTTCCTTCCTTTCTCTAATGAATGCACCGTTGACACATTAGACATCATCATCAACAGCAGTACAACAGCCACTTGAACTGATGCTTCGCTGCCATACAACCATGATGACCTTTGAAATAAAGAATAATAAGGGGGAGAGAAGGGGAACTTAGCGGAAGACATTAATGCCCTAAGCAAACATTCAGGGTCAAGGCGCCTACACCTTGTGTAGACAACGTACCGTTACAAACAGCTGGCGATCGTGCAAAGATAAGGCAGCATCGGCGGGACAGCTTCCTTGCGGCTTTCACTGCCACGCGTCATAATCAGCCATTACCCCGCAGATAACTCAGCATCAAACACACTTTAAACAGGCAATCCGATTAGGAGACGACAGCAGACGCGCCACTGGTGTCTACTGCGAGCCATGTCCTGTAAAGTCTCGAGCTAAGCACAAGGTGAGTCACGTGGACTCTAGCACGGAAAGCTAGACGGACCAACGGTACCCAGTTTGGTTGTCATTGACTTCATTTCCCACTGCCAAGTCAACTTCTGTCCACCTCCAGCCTTGCGCCATCCTACACCAGGTAGACTGAACACGGCCCTCCTAGGTAAGCGGTGACCAGGCATACGTAGCACGTGCCCGAGCCAATGCAACTCCGTCAGTGTTATCTGTTGTTCTAGGGAGCTAGCATGATTATCACTACCTAGTACTCGCCCACTCATATCATCGTTGCAGGCATGCTAGTGTTATCCGACACCAGCAATGCTTCAAAAACACCGATAATCAATAGCTTGAAGGCACCTCATATCTTCAGACCGAAGGGGCCAAGTTTCACTACCATAGAGAAGAACGGTCGTCATTGTGGCCTTGTATACACGGTCTTTCAGACGGAGGGAAACTCCCTTCTGTCGCCAAACATGCCGCAGGTTCAAGAAGGCAGTTCTGGCCTTTGCAATGCTTAAACTGACTTGTGTCGTTGGTGATGCGGCTGCTAAGGTAAGTGAATTGATCAGCCACCTCGAGTTCCTCGTTAGCAGGGGTCACAAAGTGGCTGGTGGTCCTGCAGCAACACTTTGCACTTTGAAGGTGCGAGACGCATACCAAATAATGAGATTACGCTAGACAGACTATTCAGGGTTTGTTGTGCCGGCGCAATATCGTCGAAAAGCAAGACGATATCGCCCGCATCATCGAGATTAACTAACTTTTCACTAGGCAGCACTTCAACGCCTCCATCGTGATATTTCGCAACGAAACACTCCATGATGGAATCCACGACGAAATTGAACACAAAAGGGGAAATCGGACAACCCTGACGAACGTCACTTGTGGTCGGAAAGCTATCCGATAGGCCACCGTAAACCCTGACGCGGCCTGTAGTGTTCGAGTACAGAGCATGTATGATGTCTACATATTTCGTGGGAACACCTTTCCGCACAAGTTTTTCGAACGCATGAGAAACGTATATAATTTATTTTTTCTAGTTCTACTCTACTGTTTACAATCGAAGGTTGGTCGGAACGCGCAACCGCTTTCCACAAGCGTTTCGGCAGCAAAGCACATATCCCTTTGAAGAGGGAACCGGTGCTGCTCATTAATTGAACAGACATAAAGTTGCATTCTTGTCCCCGATTTGTTGTCTTATTTTCGCAAACTGCCATACATTGTGAGTTCCCTGGCAGTACCTTACTGAATGACCTGAGAGCCAGCTTTGCGACGTTGCAGAAAGATTGCGTATTGGTGGAGGAGAGACCAGCAACGTAGGTTCGCAGACGGATGATTCCAGTCACACATTCTGATTAAATGCTTTTTTTTAAACTCCCCAGCTTCGCATATCTGATGTTATAGAATTTCTCTGGGAAAGCACGTTGAGTGAAAACATTTTTGGTGGAATCCATTTTTGTCAGTGATATGCATGGACATGATCAGTAGCACCTGCGTTGCATCTCACCCCTGTTTGGCTGTAATGATAGATATTTGTGTTTTATCACTGATATGTATATATATACAGTTTTCATCTACCATTCTGTTTCAGGTTTCGTAAGGATTTACGAGAAGCTGTCGCCCAAATCGACGCTAACAATCTTGGTAGAGATATGCATCACCAATACCGTGCGCTGGACCCATCTCTGATGCCGAACTACCCCGGAATCTGATTTAGTTGTCATACAGCTCTACATATGTACGCAATCGATCGTCGTACAGTTTTGCTGCTAGTCCTGCATTTTTGCTTGAACATACATGTTCTTGCAATCGGCATATCGCACCCCACTTCAGGCTGATGAACGTTGGAAGCGCTCATACCTTGCCTTCTTTCTCATCCTTATATTTACTCGCCTTTTTAATATTCCAGTTGTTTATTACTTGTGGTTCCCCCACCGTTTCACTTTTTTATTTTGTTTTGAGTATCTTTGTATTTGGATTCTACTTTCGGTCATTTTCCTTCTCATTTGCAATGTTTGCCCACACGTTTGTGCCTGCATGGTTGTGCCAGTCCCCACCATATCTCCAGTAGGTTTTGTACTTTTCTAATATTTACAAATACATGTGATTTTCCACACAGTCTACTCCGACTCTTTCACTTCATCCCTATCAGTCACGTTATCCGGGAATTTTCTTATACTTACCTTATGGCATCATCTCTGGATTTGTCCTTTCTCATGGTGTCATCCTATGGGAAACTGATATTTCTCAGCTACATTTCCGTTTGCCGTTAAGCATTGTCCCACTACATTTCATTGGTGCCTATACACTCTTCTTTCACTCAATGCGTCTAGATCCAGTCGGGGAAATCTTGCTCGCCAAGTCCCATCACCATAATAAGTTAAAAACTTGGACACACGAACCTCACCCACAAGTCAACCCAACTTGTATTACTTTTCATTACTATTCCACAAATATATGAAAATAGCCGGTAGAGTCCAGGGTAAATGTTGCCGATCTTGTATGCGGTTGGTTACTGCTGTGATTCAACACAGGAGGCCACGGCACATGTTTTTGTCGAATACGCGTTCACCATCTTCATTCTCCTCCTTCGTCGAACTCTGATTTCATCGCCCATCCGTTTACATATCCTGCGCATAGGGATCTCCATTCACTTTGTGGTCTTGAGACTTTACAATCTAGTCATTTCCTGAATACTAATAATAGGGAGCTAGTAGAAATGCGTCTGTGTTGCTCCATCGTAATCAGTTCAGGTGCGTGCGCGGATTCACATCACTGAAGTCTGAGCGTCGGCTGCGGCGCCACATTCTATTCGGGTGCGATGCGGTCCCTGTGTCTGATATCCGCAAAGTAGGTGTCTAGGAATTGCTTGAATTCCGATACAGATTTCGACTCAACGATTTTCGCAGGTAAACTATTCCAGTATTTCACCACTCGGCGCTCGAAACGTAGTGGGTGCGTTATCCGCTTTAGACCAGTTACCACTAGCTTGTTACGAGTACTGATTAGTGCCCATACGTGCAGCAGGGCCTCAGTATGAGGAAGTGACCCAGATGCAATATCCGATGCATCATAATGGAATCAACTCTAAACCGATGATACGATAACGTTTACAATGCTGGTCATCTGCATCGTTCTTCATATGGTGTACCCCGTAAACAGAAGATGAGCGTGGTAGCCACATGTTGGACACGTTCCAGTCTTTGCAACTCGCCACGGGTGATCGGACAATAGACAGATGATGCTTACTCGAGCATCGGTCTTATGATGGAAGAAAAGAAGGCGTGGCAATCTCTTCAGACCAAATGCAGAAGCTGCGTTTGAGCGCTCAAAGCATGCGCAGTCCGTTTCCATCTAGCTAGTTCGTGTTGCGTATAGACTGTTGCTCATGTTGTCATGTTTAGTTCGGTTCACTTAAACAGCTGCGACCCGAACGTTCATGAATCCACTTTCCAATACTCTCATCACCAGGATAACAATACTTTGCGATGTTGGGGAAATGAGGTATAACACAAGCAAAATATACACAGTAGGTTTAGAAAGGAGAGTAAAATTTATTGGGATAGGCATTAATAGCGATAGACAAGAAAATGGATGCATTGGCGCAATGTTTTTGTATCACAGTGTTGGCCAAATTATTATAAATTTGTAGCATTCAGCAAACTCTTCATCTCTTTTCATATTTCTCATAAGAAACAAATGATTTTACTGTAAATTCATTATATTTTCCAAAAAAAACATATAGATTGGAAATTCATCAAATTTAATATTTTGTAAATGATCTTTGGCAATTTCCAAGGAGTTAACACGCAAAGGTTTGGAGTGCATGAGTTTTGCAATGTTCAGTCATACTTTCCCAGGTCGCTATAATTTCTCTTAATGAGCTGCTGCTTATTCGTAATAATTTTTTTCTTCATCTTTGTATTTAGAATTGCCCGTAAGTTCTCTATTGGATTCATATCAACGTCATGGTAACACTTCAATACCACAACCCTCAAGAAAACGGGTAACTTCATGCACCTTGTGACGTGGAGTGCTGTCATACAATTAACTAGTCTCCTGCCCCTGTAAATCCTTCTTACATTGCCCATTCACACAATTGAGGGATCAGTTGGTGTTCTAATATTGTTTTGCACTGCTGCTGCTTTGTGATACCATGAACGATGTAGTGTCGGACAGTTCCGTCGATGCTCGTAATGCTTCATATCATGACCTGATTGGGATGACTCGTTGAACGATACAGTCTTCCCTCATCTGTTCTCCAGGTAATCGCCGGACAAATAGAGATTGCTGGTCAGAACACTAGATGATACACTCATCGCTAAAAACCACCTAAAATAAAGCACAGAAAAGCTGTTGGAAATACCTAAGCAATGTAGCCACAATTTTTCTCGAAAATCCTTATAAAAAAAGCTTTTGATTCTTTCCCGCTCCCGGTCTTCTTTTGTTCATTTGTCAAGCTGTTTGGCCCATTCCAGTTGTTCTTCTTACATTTGTTTGCTCAACTTTTGCTTACTCAGTGGTCTGCAAGCTCGAAGTCCAGAATTCAAAATGTGTCTTCTTACAGTTTTGTAACTTACCGCAACACCATGTTGTTCTAACATCCTTTGCAGCTTTTTCCTAAATGCTTCGCGATTCTTTACGCATTCCCTAAGCATAATTGAGTCGTCTCGAGCTGTTGGTACTTACCTGCGACGACATTCACCAGAACGTTTAGGGGTTTGGGTTAAATTCTTTTGCAATTTCTTTCCAATTAGGCATACAGACGCTGGGCTAACACCAACGTTGGTAACAATTTCTGATCCTTTAACACCATCTTTTAACAAAATTTCAATTTCTGCACGCTTTCGAGGGGTTAGTTCACGTAATTTACCCATAAATACGTTAATACAATCTAAAAATTGTCGATCCATGCGGTTAATTCGTTACCTGAGAATATACTTTAAAAAATTAAAATAAAAGTACTTATATATAGTTATAGATTGATCCAAAACTAGACAAGTGTAATCCAGAAATGTGGACTGCAGTGGGAAATAACAACTTCAAATAAATATGTAACCGTCGCTTCGCATAACTACTGTCCCTGTAACATCAACTTGGAACTACTATACATGTAGCAATTTGTCATCATTTGCAAAACTCATCCACTCCATGCCTATGCGTGTTAACTCTTTGAAAATTGTCAAAGTATCATTCAAAAAATACTAACCTTGATGAATTTCCAATCAGTATATGTATCCTTGTAAAATGCAACCAGTTTACAATATAATCATTTGATTCTTACGAGAACTGTGAAGGAATATAAAAACAGTTTGTTGAATTCTACAAATTTATAATAATTTGATCAACAATGTAGGTGGCCCGATATCACCAGTTTGATCATACTAGACTTTATTTTTTCCACGTTTGGGCATGCACTGTTCATGACGTGCTTGATATATCTTCGTCAATGTTTCTTCCAAACCAAGCGTTGCATGCCGTGACCCGGTAGCCAAAGGGGTAGAGGTTTCGGCTACTATTCCAATGATCGCAACTTCGGAACCTGCTGTCTCCACCTGATGAGATGAAATTACATCGAAACGCGTCGTGGTTGTGCAGTGTTTTCCGGCGGGTAACATCTAATTCCCGTCTGCATTTTTGTTTTTCTTTGTAATTATTTTTCTATGTTGACTTCAGCTTTCGCACAATTTGAGACGATTCTTCGTGGCGTGCGATTGTGTTATCAACGACGTTCGTTCACTTATGCTCAGTTTGGCTTCGTGTAATGTGAAACGTCTCCATTGTCTGCCACGTTGCTATGTTATGTGGACTGTTCGTCCATAGCAAATTCCGTGACCCAACTGCTTTAATTTATATTCCGACTTTTCTTGTGTATGGCTCATTACTCTTCTTCATCAGTCTCCTTTGCCGCGTATGCATGATCAGTCAGCTTTGTGCTCGTTGTTTCACAGATTGACACTATGGGACTTGATTTAGGTTTCATGAATTCCTCGCGACACGTAGGTGTGATGCTTATTTTGTCTCGTCTGATGTTTCTCAGCTGTTTTCTGCTTCCACGATCTGCAAGCTCTGGACTGCTTCTTCCCGGTGCTTCTTATCAGCATTTCCATCTCAATGAGGCTGCACCTTACCGTAGTGCGATGGTTTGTGTGCCTCAGTGATCCATTGAGCTGAGCTAGGTGGTACTTTTGCACCTTTAGAGTCACTCATACCAGATTGGTCAATGGTTAGAGGCCAGACAAACTCAGCCTCCTTGTCCTCCAGATTGGGGGTTGGAATGAGGGTGACATCTTACTCCTTAAAACGGACTCCTTGTAGCCCAACGGCAAACACGCTGCCTTGCGGTCAGGTTTTTGAACCAAAGGCTTTGGTTGAGAACCCTAATCGTTCTCCTTTCTAGGCCTGGGCAACCTGACAGTATTCTGCCCACGCAATACAATGAATTTCTCTTCAAACAAATTTCTGATGCTCTGGCCACCGCGGAGGATAATCAACGGTGCTCTATCTGCTGCATCGAGCAGGGTGGATAGGGGTTTGGATGCTGCTGCTCAAGCCTTCCCATCTTCTTATTCCTCCTCTTACGCTTTTTCATCCTTATCGTCCCGTTCCAACTTCACTTTTATCCCCCCTGTTTTCAACTCCCCAATTCTTGGCCCTCCCCAACCTTACTTTGATAGGCTTTTACCTTCTAGTTACAACTCACATGTAAACGCGAAGCGTCATTCCTACCCTATCGACAGGCCCATGTCCAAGCAAGCTGCCAAACCCAGTTCATCGACTTCTATTTGAAGGCCTCGATCACCCTTCAGATTGGCATGCCTCCATGTACACACATTGCTACAAATCGGTCAACAGGCAGCACTTGCCCGAACATTGGAGACCCTCTCGATTGATATTTGTTGCTTATCAGAGACCCGCCTGCAAGACTCGAGCTCTGTGCTCACTTTGCGATCCCCTTCAGGTGACACCAGCAGCACTTTCTCATTGCGCCTATCCGGTGACGACGCAGCTTCGAGTACTGACCTAGCTGGTGTTGGTATTGCCCTAGGTCCTCGGGCTGAAGCTGCTCTGGTTGATTGGATTCCAATCAGTAGCCGATCGTGTACGGTTCGTTTGACTGGCTCATTCAAAGCTTCGAAGCCGCGCGGGACTAACAGGCGTCTATTCGTCATCGCTGCCTATGCACCCACAAACTGTAGCGATGATTCGGTAAAAGACGACTTCTATCGCCAATTGAACGAGCTCCTTCGACGCAGAAGTAGCTCGGAAACTGTTGTGCTGGCTGGGGATCTGGAAGCTCAAGTTGGAAAGTTGTCCACTGATGAACTGCATCTGGGCGGTCAGCACGGTGTAGGCCCCCGTAATGATAACGGTGATCGGTTACTTCATTTGTGTGAAGATGCTCGCTTATTTCTTGCGAGCACTAATTTCCGACACAGCACCCGTGGGAGGGTGACTTGGCGCCCACCAGCGTCGAACCAGCTATGGACGCAAATCGGTCACATTGAGATCAGTTACCGATGGAGAGGCTGCATCCAGAAGTGTCGCTCGAGTTGGAGCGCATGCGTGGACACAGACCATGCACTTCTATGTGCTGACCTGCGGATGCGTTTTGGCGGATGCTCACGACGATGTTGTGAGCGCATTGACATCAGCCAACTGGCGAAACCTGCTGTCTTGAATGCCTATCAATGTACGCTGTCATGCGAGTTGAATAAACCCTCACTAGATCCAAGTGAAACTCACTGGTCTCATATTCACCAGACCTTACTAGCAGCAGGCAAATCCTCGTGATGAGTCTAATCGCCAACATGGAAATTGTATCTCTTCGCAGTCCCTGGAACTTATCGATGCTCGCCGGCATACTCCTGCTGGAACCGAACACAATGAAACTCGCAAATAGCTCCGCGCAAGTATCCGTGCTAACCTGAAGCGAAACCGCGAATCCTGGTGGTCTCATCGTGCATCAGAGATGGAAATGGCCGCTGCCCTTGGTAACCATGCGAAGTTATTTCGGTTGATACGGGAAACGGGCAGCAAGAGACCTGGTGTTAGTGAAACTAATTATGAAGAGAGTGGACAGTCTATCCACAACTTGTCAAGACGTTTGGAGCGTTGGGCTGAGCACATTGAAAGACTATTTAATCGGTAGGGATTGTTAGATTTCTCGCTGGCCACTGATCGCCCCGCTCCGTGGGCTGTCCTTTTGGATTCACCCTCTCGCTCAGAAGTCGAACGTGAGATCGGACTATTGAAGTTAAATAAAGCCGCGGGACCAGATAATCTACCTCCAGCCCTCTTGAAATTCGGAGGCTCTGCTCTTTTTAATGATCTATACGAGTTACTAGTGGAACTGTGAGAGCAGGAGACTGTCCTAACCGACTGGAGCCGCTCCGTCATAGTCCCAGATTTTAAGGGGGGCTCACGATCAGAATGCAGCAACCATAGAGGAATCAGTTGGATCTGCATCTCCTCCAAATTGCTTGCCTCTGTCATCCTTCACAGACTGACTGGCACTCGTGAAAGCCATATTCGTGAAGAGCAAGCCGGTTCTCGTCGAGTTCGTTGCTGCATTAAGCACATCTTCACTTTGCGTCAGTTGTTGGAGCACCGTCACACATATTGGCGGCTCACCGTAATCATGTTCCTCGATATCAAAGGTGCATTCGATTCGGTGGATAGACGTGCACTTTGGGACTGTCTACTCAGGAAGGGTGTACCTGAGAAATATGTTACTATTACCGGAGCATTATTTGCGCGTAGCACGGGCAGAGTGAGGGCTTATGGCAAGCTGTTGTCGCTCTTAAATATCTCCAACGGTGTGAGACGAGGATGCCCGCTGTCACCTTTCCTTTTCAACTTTGCTATTGACGAAGTCATGGAAATCGCGTTCACAGGACATGACTTAGAAAGTGTGGATCTGCTCCCAGGAGAACGACTTCTTGACTTAGGGCATGCTGACGATATTGCCCTAATCTGTGACAGCTCCCAGACGTGCCAAGCGGCACTGAACAGATTAGCACTGGCTGTCAGCCGCTTCGGGCTTTGCTTTGCACCATCGAAGTGCAAAGCGTTCCTCCAAGATTGGCCTAGACCGCCTCCTTCGCTGACCCTTGGTGGGGATCAGCTAGAAGTCGTTCAGAAATTCAACTACCTGGGAAGTTGTATCAGCACCCTTGGGATTGAAGATGAGATGACGAACCGTATATCAAAAGCTCGAAGTGATTTTGCTAACCTTCGCCACCTATGGCGGCGGTGCGACATCACTCTCGACCTGAAGGATAGAGTGTACAATGCAGCGGTGCGTTCGACCTTACTGTGCGGTTGCGAAACCTGGACCCTTACAGCAACGGACCTGAAGAGGCTAGTTACGTTCGACCACCGTTGCCTTCGCTATTTAGCTCACATCTGTTGGGAACATCGCGTGAGCAACAAGCGTGTTCGACGCCTTGTTTACGGCACAGAGAAAGGAACTGAACCGCTCAGCACCGTCATTTCACGCACCAGGCTCCGATGGCTCGGCCACGTGTTACGCATGTCAGGCCACCGACTCCCGCGACGTGCGTTGTTTGCGCACCGGGGGTGTGGTTGGAAGAAAGGGAGAGGTGGCCAAGCGATGACTTGGTCAAGAGGAATGAAGACCCTCTTTTCGAAGCTGGCCTCAGATGGAGCGTCTACGCTCCCTGGTTGGGGTCCGAAAGACGATGAACACGTTTGACTGGATACACTTGTTGATATGGCTAGAATCCGACCTCAGTGGCGTTCGTGCTGTGAGTTTCTTTATCCCACCCCATCCCTCTTAGCCTCCCCCTCCAAGCACGATCCCATTATTTAACATTTTATAATTTTGCATAGGAAATTACTTCTTTTGCTGCTTAGTAGCCGGAAGATAGCTTACCGGAACGATGCCCATCCGTTACCGGTAGCTCAGCTGGCTTGCTCCTGTTGCATTTCCCCTTTTTTCTTTTATGTATTGCGGCACAGTAACTGAGAGGTTTCCCACCTTTAGCTAACGTGTATCATGATGGTGATCATCTGGTTTTTGACCTACCCACTTCTTTTGCTTACCCCATGGTTCCATATCAATTAACAGCTTCGAAGTTATCTGTTATTGGTCTGGTTATCGTTGTTGGTCCACTTCCACCGATAAGTGCTAATTCGCTACCCTAATCTTATGTGATTGGGGAATTACAATTTCACTATTAGAGAAACTGGGCATTACTTCATGTCGTTTTCATCCATTGAGTGCTCCACTGCATGTTACACGTTCTACTTGTTCATATACACACGTCCGTTTCAGCAACTACCTGAGTATCATGGATCGTTTGAGTTCGCCACTTGGTTCCTCGATCTATGTCACTGTTTTATGCCGTTATGTCCGTTCGCTCTCATGCTGGAGCTCCTCTTTGTCAGCCTCAAGTCCCCTGAGACCACTGTAAGTTGTGCGTTTTCATTGTCTTCTCTCTGTTTTACTTATCGATCCATGTTCACATTGATCTGTGCAGTTTCATTCTGGACCAAGCATTACAGTCGCTTAGATTGCGCGCAAAGACTCTGATGCTGCTCGTTCCAGCCAGCACTGCTCTTCATACTCGGTTTCCTCTGGATTTTCAAGTGGAGTTGGCACATATCCACCCCCATGAAATCTAGCTCCGTGTTGTCCACGCTTGCATCTAGGCCCCTGCTTTCGCTTAACCCTTTTTATGCAACCATTACTACTAAGCATCTCTCAGTAGTTTGATATTTTTGCATCTGGCTTCCATCCATTGCCCTCCCTTTGGCCGTCGCCTTCTCAACATTCGGTTTTCTCTTGGTACCTCTCACAATCCATCTCCTTTTACGAGTCAAAGCATTTGCACTTCGGTTGCTTATCCGCTTTCTTCTGACAAGCTGTATCACAAAAACCTTCCTCATCCATGCCACAGCATGTTACGAATTACGGCTTCATAGCTTTCCATGGGGCATTCTAACCCCTCCAAGGAAAGTTGGATCGTTCACTACACTATTCGACTATGGTATACAACATCGATTCGAAGGCAAAGTTATCGACGGGGAATAATTGCTCTACTCTTTTCAAGCATAGTGTTGTGTTGTTACTTTCACTCTTATTTGATTGAAATTTGGGCTGCCATCTTCATATCTATCCACACATTTTAACCATCAACTAGTATTTTCCACGGCGTAACGCTTGTGCTGTCATTTAAGGGCTTGATCGACACTGAGTGAATTTGGATTGGTTTTGTGTTTGAATTTGGGCCTGCAATCGCAATCGGCATCATGATTTCGATCGCAATGTGTCGTAATCATCTACATCACCGGGACTGTCTTCCTTCGAGCTATATAGCTCTTGGTGTCAAGCCATGACTTCTTATCTTGTTCCCGCAGGTTACTGGCAGGATTTTGGTTTAAAAAATATTCATAGCGATAGGCTTGATGTTTTCGGAATCCCACCATGCGTGATTCATGTATTCCCCATAGGAAGTGCAATGACACCTGAGACCATTCATGGCATAACTCTTCCTGAATTTAGGCCATAGCACTCTACCTCATCTGTTGGGATAAAAGCACTTCATTACCATATCGTTCGTTGAACCTTATTTCACCTTCATTATAGGCGTACTGGGACGTTCAGGGAATGATGTAATCTTGCCGTGGTGCAGTGGTTTGCATGTTATGCTAGGCGGTGCTTTTTGTACCCTCATAGCCACTCATATCAGCTTCGTAAAGAAGAAGCCGCTTTTCATCGAAATCAGGGCTACGATGACTCTATCTTAACTACGTGGATTTTTGCTGTAGCGCAACTTATATGGGTGTCTCACCGTAGCCATGTTCTTTGACATAACAGTTGCCTTTGCGTCCCTAGATCGATGTGCCCTCTGAAACTGTTTGGTTCATGTAAAGATCATCAGATCGATAGAGTCGCATCGTTGTAGTAGAGTAAAGGCTTATGCCTAACTGTCGCTGCTCTTCAGTATCTCTAGCTGACCTGTGGCCTAAAGGATCACAAACCTGCCTTATAGTCCGAGGGCGCGGGTTCCAGTCTGCATAGTGGACCGCGCGACCCTCGTAGTATCCTTAGCCCACGCGCGACTATTGGTGGTCGCGCGGCAGCAAAGCGCCAGTGCTACGTATCGGCGTACATGATTCACCGCTACTACATTTTTTAAAAACTTTGCCATCTCTGAATTCATCGAAGCTGCATTCACTGGACCTGAATTAGCTGTGTAGCTGCTTCCAGCTGACCGGCTTCTTGACTTACACTACGCCGACGACATTGGCTTTACATGTGACAGCCCACAAACGTATGAAGTAGCATTGGACAAATGCACTGGCTGCCAATCATGTTGAGTTTTACACATACGAAATGCAAACTCCAAAATTGACAGGGACCCACTCCTACGCTGATCCCTGTTGTGATCAGCTGGAAATTGTTCAAAAATTCATGTATCTAGATAGCTGTCGTAATGCTTGGGGAACAGAATATGAGGTCACGAACCGTATAGTATAAGCTCGAGACGCTTTGGCCAATCTCCGCCGCCCGTGGCGCCGTCGCGACATCACTCTTTTGGTAGTGAAACCTGACTCATTAGATCGACAGGCAGGTTAGTTACGTTCAACCATCTTTGCCTTCGCATTTTCGCTCACATCTGGTGGGGACACCGCGTGAGCACTTGACCCTTTCGGCGTCTCGTATATGGTGCAGTAATAGCGACTGAACCTCTTAGCATCATTACATCACGCACCAAGGTCCGGTGGCTTGATCATATTTAACGCATGCCAACAGACCGACTTCAGCGACGTGCGTTATTTGAGCTGTTGAAGTGCAGATGGAAGAAGAGAATCAGATGTCAAGCTACGACTTTGCCACGGATGGCAGTCGTAAGACCGCCAGGCTGAGTCCGAAGGATGATGATTACCTGTGGTTGGATACACTTGTTGACATGGCCGACTTCAGTTGCGGTTGTATTGTGAGTTTCTTTGTCCCTTCCTTTTCCGATTAGCATTCTCTTCCGGTCACAATCTTACACCGTAGTAACTTCGATTAGCGGCCTCTGGTTACTTCTTTTCTGGCTGTGTTAGCAGGATTCTTTCCTGTTGCATTTCTCGATGCTTTGGAATTATTTCGTGGTAACCACAAAATCTTTCTGTTTGATTTCTGATTCTGAATTTTTCGACCATAAATACTTCTGTTATCGTTTAATTTCCGCAATGTAACACTCACTTTGTGCTCCACATTCGTTCTCCATCTTGGTCTCGGATTATTCATAATGCCAAAACACTCACCTTGTAGTGTCTGTTTCAAGGTTGTCTGAAATCGAGCAAATGCAATCACATGTGTTACGTGTCACGTTAAATACCACATTTCATGCATTAGACTGTCTTATGCTGAATACTGTATTGCAGGAGCAAGCAAAAATTTGAATCTGTACAACTCTGTCGGAGTACGATCAAAAATGTTAGGAAGCAAACTATGACTTCTCAGTATACTGTTCCTTTTCATATTTTCATATGATATCGTTAAAAAAATTTTTACTCACAGTAGATTAAGAGTTCAATCGAAACAAGACTAGACCGTAACGTTGTGTGGCGATTTGCGCACCTCGTCGACCCATTGAGCTACACTGCGTGGTGCCTTCCGTTCCCTTGAGAGCTACTCCTTCTACGTTGGTCAATGGTTACAGGTCAGACGAACTCAGTCTCCTGGTCCTCCAAGTTGGGGGTTTGAAATGGACTGGCGTCCATTTCTATAAAACTAAACCATTGCTACCTCCCCGCTGCATTGCGGACTGGCTTAAGAACCGAGGGCTTTGGTTGAGAACCCTAATTCTTCTCCATGACTGACTCTTGGCGCATTGGCGGTTTCTCAGACCTTCCTCAAAATTCAACTACATCCTGCATTGGCCATTGCGCAGCTTATCAATGGTTGCCTTATCTGCTGCATACAGCAGAGAGGATAAGCGAAAACATGCTACTGTTGGATCCTCCCTTCTTTATTTCGACCAATTTCTTTTACTCCCATCCGAACCCTGATTACAAAACTTCCTCCTATAGTCCTGAGCTTTCTTGACAGCAACTGTAATGCCACTGGAGTCGAATCATTTGAAGCTACCTTCCCACAACACCTATCCGACGCCTACCGGCAACCGTCACTTGTAAGACCACTCTGTCCCGTTTCCCTGGCGGCGTTCAATCTTCGAACTCTAGGACATATAGCTCAATTGGCTGTACTCGCACAAACGTCGGACACTGTGTATTGACGTGTGCTGTGTCTCGGAAACAAGGATCAATGACCATAATGGGGTGGTTGAATTAACTACGTCAGCTTGTCCTCTCGCTATTGGTTGCACGCATCCGGAGACACTGGTACGTCAGCGTTTTGTCAAGCGGTGGTAAGTATCATTCTCAGCTCCAAGACTGCGCCATCGTTGGTTGATTGGATTCCCGTGACCAGCCGTTTATGTGCAGGCCGTTCAACGACATCAACTGAGGTTAATTCACGAAGTAGTAAAAAACGCTGTTTGTTTGTGATTTCCGCTTATGCTCCAACCGACTGCAGTTCAAATGCAGTCAAGGACACATTCTATCACGAACTGAACGCGCTACCATGCAGTGCTACTAGTTCAGAGATCCTAATGCTTGTATGCGATATGTGCGCACAATTAGGGCGTCTGAGCTCTTCAGAAGCTCAATTAGGTGGTAAGTATGAACAGAACTCTGAGCGTACTGACATCGGCAAGCGTCTTCTGCAAATGTATGCGGAGCACCAGTTGTTTCTTAGTAGTACCGCTTTTAGACACAGTGGGCGCCGAAGTGCCACTTGGCGTCCTCCTGTAGCTGGCCAGCGATGGACCCAAATTGACTGTAAATCCATAAAGTTACAGATGGCATGGTTCCATCCTGGATTGCCGCTCTTACTGGAGTACCTGTGTGGACTCTGATCATGCCTTGATACGCCGTCTCCATCAACTTTACCGGGAGGCGCAACAAGTTTCTCCCGCGATTAGCAATTAACAAACTGTCGGAGCTCTCGGTCAGACAAGCCTATCAAGACCCACTGCGTACCGAACTTTCGCTCCTTTGTCCTGCTGTTGTGCTTCACTGGAATAGGATCTCGGCCGCCATGCATGACGCAGGAGTATCTGTTTATTTCACTAACAATCGTTACCACACCAGTCACTGGATGCTTGAGAGGTCGGTGAACTTGTTAGAATCCAAAAGAAATGTCCCGGCTGACTCCGAGTAGTGTGACCAAACGGATATTAGGGTCTTTGGTGATCTGTCGGATGCCTTTCCTCATGGTTGTCCGAGTTCCCGTTTCTGTTTAATTTTATCGTGGAATCCATCATAGAGTGTTCCCTGCGGAGTCTCATGATGCATGGGTTTTGATGCTGTCTGGTGAAAAGCTAGTTTTTCTGGAGTGTGCGGATGATGTTG